GGGTTGTTTTAGACGTAAAGCGACTGCCCACTAAATAGACAATAGCGTAGTATAAACAGAACTTTGATGCACACTGGGATCCTGAAATGTCTGTGTGAATTGCTTTATTGCGGTTTTCTGGAAATCACCTCTGTCTCCGAGGTCTGCCTGGGGAGCGTCTTGGCCAAACAAACAAAAAGGATTTGGGGCTTAAGAAGGGGAAGGCAAGTGTTTGGAGGGTGACCAGGAAAAGAACTGAAACAAATGTTGTTTGGTGGTTTGTTTTGCGGATTTAAGTTTCTCGGAGGATGAGCACTGTCCTTTGCCTGGTCCAGGAGATAGAGGTGCCTTTTATAAAGGAAATTCCCTTGATAAAAGAAAGGGAATTTTCCTACCCCTGCTGCTTTTCAGTGGTTTTTAGCTTAAAGTAATCCACACCCCCTGGAGCACAGTGTGGTGATAGGCGCTGTTCTTAGAGCTGTGCTGTCTGTACCAGTGGGCGTGACTGTGTGCACACCGGCATGGCACGCTTATTGGACCGTCAGAAAACACTGGAGACCTCATGACACTTCCGTATTCTACAAGCCACTCCTGAAAACGAGGCCAGGAATTTCCTGCTATCACCTTGCCCATGTTCTGATTCCTCCGTTTATCTCCAGCGTTTTGCAGCTTTTTTAGTGAGATCTGATCAAGGTTTGTGTATTGCATTTGTATGCCATATCTTTTTTTTTTTTTGGCAGTTTTTGGCCAGGGCTGGGTTGAACCCGCCACCTCCAGCATATGCAGCATAAGGGGCCAGCGCCCTACCCCTTTGAGCCACAGGCGCTATCCGTATGCCATATCTTTTTAAGTTTTTTATAATTATGATAAAAACATGAATATAAAATTTATCATCTTAACCATTTTTAATTGTGCTGTTCAGTGGTGTTAAGTAAGTTCACACTGTTGTGCAACGATCTCTGGAACGTCGCATCTTACAAAACCGAAGTTCTGCGCTCACTGACCAACTTCCTGTTTCCCTCCGCTCTGCACCCAGTCCCTGGCAGCCACCCTCTACTTCCCATTCTGTGATTTTGGCCAGGCTGGGTCTCATGCATGTGGAATCACACAGCGTTGTCCTTTTGTGACGGGGTCATTTTCCTGACCGTAACGTCCTCAAGATCCACCCATGCTGTGTTCAGTGTAGAAGTCCCCTTCCTTTGTAAGGCTGAGTATCGCACCGTCTTATCTGGCTGCTAACATGCAGCATTCTCTCTGCTTTTATTTACCTGGGACGTTGACTTTTTGTTGTTGTTGAGACAGAGTCCCACCCTATGCCCTAAGCAGAGTGCAATGGTGTCATAGCTCAACTACAACCTCAGACTTGGGCTGTAGGTTAGTGCCTTAGCCTCTGGAAG